ATGCTAACTTTGATCCTGATGAGTTTGAGGAATTTTGGGCGGACATGGTTGAAGAGTTTGGCTTATCTGATAATAAGTGGGTGAAGAAGTCATATAAGAGAAAGGAGATGTGGGCAACTGCCTTTCACCGAGAAAGGTTTTACTTCGGAATAAGAGCATCGAGGTGTGAGGGGACTAATGCTTTCATTGATAAATGTACGAGCCCTCACGACACTTTGGTTGAGTTTGTTCACAATTATGAGAGGATTGTCCGAGAGTATAGGAATGATGAACTTGTGGCTGACTTTGATACCATGTATGAAGAACCAGTAATAACTTCTGCTTTGGGGCCACTTGAGAAAGGGGCAGCTAATGTTTACACAGGAGCTATGTACAAGGAATTTAAAGTAGAGCTTAATGAAGCTGCTGCCTTTTTTGTTGTCCAGCGCGACGAAACTGAGGACACAATTTTGTTTATGCTAAACAAATATTGTAGGCCTCGGCGTGTATATGAAGTTAGGTTAGAGAGAAAGGAAGAGAGATTTGTTTGCTATTGCAGATCTTATGAGAGCAATGGAATACCTTGCTCCCACATTATATGTGTCTTGAAGTATGAACACTTAGCACAGTTGCCTCCAAGTTTGATTTGCCATAGATGGACAAAGGCTGCAAAGATTGTTAACACTTCGCAAGGTGATGAAAATAGTAGAGACCGGAAGACATTCATGTCGCGATATGGATTGTTAGGATCTGCTTGTAATTGGCTTTCCTTTCTAGCTGCACAAAATAGGGAAGATTTTAATGAGGTTAAATCTGAAATATTCAAACTAACCTCGAGGTTAGAGAAACAACGTAGTAAAAGTATTGGTGGTGTGAAGGATCTTATGATTGATGTGGATGATGTTAGCATTGTCGAGACCAGGGGTGCCCCTAAGAAGAAAAGGAAGAGTTGTGAGATACCCGAGAACTCCAGGTGTCATACTATTGGACATACAAGGAAGGGATTTTCGAAGCATTCAAAAAAGCAATTGGAAACTGCTGGTGACAACTGTGCTGGGAAAAGCACATATGATGCCAATGATAGTAACACAAAAGAACCTGCACAAACTTCTTCCAACAGATCGGCAATGGTAAGACTTTACATGTAATTATCTGTTTATGTGTCATTTACAATTGGTATTTTAGATTGGTATAAAGCTTGCATTGTTTGGAGTTTTCTTATGACATAATGTTTTCATACTTGCAGAATGAATCATCCCAACATATCTTTCAAGGACAGGGAGCCAAAACAATGTCTAACATGCATGGTCATTTGAATTCAGCATATTATGGAGCATCAGTGCAAGGTCAATATGGGCAGCTGTCAATGTTCCCACACAGCAATTATAGCCTATGTACTCCCCTAGTGTAGGTGCTGCAATGTTCCCCTATGTTCATGGCCCATCAAATTTATTGCAGGTTTGTTTGTAATATGTTGAAAATATATTGACTCATTTGCCTGGTAGACTTACAAATTGCTGCATATTATTGGTAATGATTTAATTTTGTATGCTTCATATTACGACAGGGCTTTGGAGGAGTGCCATTCATGCAGTCAACTAGTTTTCAGATGCCTAAAACCCAACGAGGGTGATCATAGGAAGCAAGGATATGGTTCCCCTACATTGTATGATTATCCATGCTCTACATATGGAAGTAATTTCCTTCTGTGCTTCTTGTGTTTTATGAGAGTGAGATTTGATGTGCAATCTGGTTTAGTCTTTTATTTTGTTCTTTATTTTATTTTATATGGATCGGGAGGAATCCACTCGAGGAATGGGCAAGAAGAGTTTTGTTGGCATGCTTCCTCAGGAGGCTACAGCTGATGATCTGTACCATTACTTCTGTAAGTTTGGCCAAATTTTTTGTCTTTGTCCCAAAGGTGGATGCTATTTTCTCTGTGGTACAAAATATTTTCTGAACTATAAATAACCCATGGGCTCCAAATGTTAACTTGATATAGGATCCCAAGAGAACTGGCCATAGAGGTTTTGGGTTTGTGACCTTTGCAGAAGATGGTGTTGCAGGCCGTGTGTCAAGGTCTGACAAGATTTGTCTGCAGCAGGTATTTAATAAAAGGATTGTTGGTTTTTGATGTTTGGTATTCTACATATTGTGTTGTCATGAGAGCCGTTAAAATGACTGAATGGAAGGATTTTTTATTTTGTTTAAATCCTCGTGTATTTCCTTATATGATTAATTTGCAATTGTCTTGTTGAATAACCGGAACTTTACCTCATGCATGTGTGTTCAAGTTAGGCAGAATCTTTCTCTTATTGCTCGTCATTGGAAAGTCAGATTCATAAAGTAGAAATGAGTACCTTCTTTGAATAATCAATGATTGTTTCTTGGAGTTTAAGGTGGGTTGTATTGAGCTTTGACTTCTCAGATCTTGCATGTGTGAATATCATTCATATATATTCACTGGCGTGGATAGCAGTAGCAGCAGGAGGAAGTTTGAGACCTGAGAATACGAGGGATAGTGAAGGTGATATTGTGTCTATGCTCTTGATCTCCGGGTTTCAGATATTTTTTAAACTCTACATTACATGTGCTTATTCCCTTTGGGTGCTTGGAACTGTTTGATTAGAACAACTTATTTGGCAACCCTGTAGGCTGTGGTGGTATGCAAATCAAATTGGTGTCTTTTCATTCTTCTGTAAGGCTGAAATATGATTTTTCTTGTCTTCTTAGAAAGTGAAAAAGCTATTTGGAAGTGAGTGTTTCAGTTTCAGTTATTGGAAGAATTTATGTTAAATTGAAATGGTTCCATTTCTTTACATATAAAGTAAACCTTGCCATGGAGATGGATAGTTTAATTTGCTATTTGCCAATAATCATAATTCAAGAAAGTGCTAATTATTCTTTCTAGATTTTCCTGTGCCTTTGGAATTTGATTTTGTTAATGTTGGAAGTTGATAAAGTTTATAACTACTGAAAATCTTTGGAATTTATTTATACCTCTTTCTGTTATACAGTGGGGTTGTGGCATGTGCGGTGGCATGGCAGAAGGAGATGTTGACGAGCAGATTTGAGGTATCAACCATATTAGGAATTATAGTTGTGGACCCTATGACTGGACGTATTTCCTTGATTATCGTTTTTGGTTGTTGGACCTATGGATTTTGCAACGTTATGTTGAATGTCACAATTAGAATTTATAGTTGAATTGGGTGTACAAAAATGTGCATGAAAGGTGGAATTCTGCCTGATGGTTTTAATTTAGTTTGGTGATTTTACTAAGACAGCCGATTGTACAATACATTTCTATTATTGTCAGTTTTGAGTTTTTGTGTATTGCTTTGTGGTTTGTGACGAGTGACCAAATACGCTAGTTCAAGGAACAGCACTGTTGGAATGATTTTGAAGACAGCGTTATGAACCAGTACACTTATTTTGTAATTATCTTGTGAAGAAAATATCATTTGTTTTAGTTTCAGGGCAGCAATCATCTGCTAATTAGAAATGGTTTCTTTTGTTTCTTCGTCATCCTTTGAATAATTCTGTTGATAGTTCAACAAAGAGGATAGTTCGGTTGATTATGGTTCTTTATTAGCCAAGCCATATATTTAATGGTTCCCAAAAGAGAAAATAAAAGGAGCAAAAGAAATAATCTTCATGTTGATACTCATCACAGACAAAGGAAGGAAAAGGAAATTACATATTTTCTAAGCCGATGATATACAGTAAGGCAAGGGGGAAGTGATTTCAACGACATTGACGTAATCCTATTGGCATGCTATGAAATTCTCTCGAACTGTTCAGGACTTCCAACACAAGACTGTAAAGGAACGGGCTTCAAATTTGAATTCCTCCCCGTATTTCACTATCGCAGGAGCAGCACAATTCCCCTGTACTTGTTCTTCTTCCCGGATGGCCAACACAAAGACACCTCAACCCAAAACATAGTTTTAATTGTATCAAAATATACTTGTTTCTGAAAATCCAGGAAACAAGTTGCCGAACTGGGTTATTTTTTTTTGTTATAAAAAAATGAAAAACCGGGCCTTCTTTGTGCATTTTCATCCACAAAAGAGCGCATAGAAAATATACAAATAGGCCAACTTAATTACCCGGGATGCTCTCACATGTCCACAAAATTACAGATTAACTGTTTGGTAAACGGTTACCCTCAGGCGTCACGTGTCAAAAGTTCACACGTGGCAGAATGCAAAAATAATAACGATAATAATAAGAGGAATATTGGAAAAATCTTCCGAGGATTGATTTAGTTAAACTGCAAGTACATTGGTCTCCCAGAACTCCTTGTAACTGCAGCTTCTATTACCCATGAATTTTAGTCTTTAAGGAAATATTTGAAACTAATTTAAAACACTCAATGTTGCTTAATTGTTACAGAGCAAAACTATTCTTCTTCTAGATAAGGATTTGGGAATATCCTCCATACAACAGGATCACAAAATAATATTCCCATAGGAATCATCAGTAGGATATATGATAACTTGTACAATATCAAGCCTATAATGGGAGGGATGACAGCTTTGCTTCATATTTCATTCCAAGGGGACTTGAAAAAGTCCGGAAACAACCTTCACAGTTTTTAAGACAAGTGCATAAGAAGCAAAATGCCTTCAATTCATATTTAGACACATAAACTAAATGCCAAACTTAAAGAGGTAAAATTAAGTGATTTTGATATTCATATAATTGTCCTATTCATTTGTACCAAGTAGGAATTTAATGTTCTCATCTTTCCTACCTCTTAGATTAGACTTGGGAATTCATTTTGGGCGCTTTCTAGAAACAAGACATACAAATTAGACAGTAGCTAGGATATATTGCCTTAGTTTCCTCTGAATAGATTAATGGTATGAAACAAATTCCATAACAGACTCCTCTGCTACATAATTCCAATATAAATACCATCCTGTCCCCCGTTTCTTTTGTCAAGGAAACCTCTCTTCTCAACATAATCCCATCTAGCCCTCTTCACTGCCTAACTTACCTACAACTCTGCAAGATTATGGCTGTTCTCACGTTCACCAATGACACCACTTCCCAATCCTCCCGCAAGGGCATTCAAGGCCTTTTTCCTTGATGGAGACAAATTGATCCCAAAAATAATGCCACAAGCCTTCAAGAGCATTGAAATCTTAGAAGGAGATGGAGGGGCCGGAACCATCAAAAAGATCAACTTTGCTGAAGGTTAGAAAATATATATTGCTGAAGACATAATTTTATTAATGCTTATTAATTTAAATAAAGTGGAATGAATGTTGGACCTGTAGGAACCCCTCTTACCTACATGAAGCACCGCGTTGATGAGATCAATACAGAGACATTCAAGTACAGCTACACGGTCTTCGAAGGGGATGCTTTGACTGGTAAGCTTGAGAAGATATCTTACGAGATTCAGCTTGTGGCATCCCCTGATGGTGGTTCTGTTGCCAAGACTACAAGCAAGTTCTACCCTTGGAGGGTGTTCAGATAAGTGAAGAGGAGATAAAGATTGGACAGGAAAGGTCAGGGGCAATGTTCAAGGTCCTTGAAGAGTACCTCGTCAAGAACCCTGATGCCTATGCTTAATGCCACTTGTCTCTTTATTCAGCTTCTCTTTTATTACTTCTCGCGTACATTTATTTCAGTGTGTTCTTGCCCTGTTTTTTACACTTGATGCCTGTGTTGAAAATAAGCCAGTCCGGGTAGCAATTTTCATGCTTTTTCAGAACTTTAACTGTTTCTATGTCTGTATAACCAATAAAGGAAAGCTGAGTAAGAGATTTGCTTCATGACAATGAGCAGTCCAATTACGAATGTGATTGTTATATCTAGCTACATGATTGAAGCTCTTGCTTCAGTAAATCAAAACCAAAACCTTGCATGAGTCATCAAAATAAGAAGGCAGAATCTGAACTCCTTCCATTTGGGCCGGCAAACGCTTTGCTTGCATGGTGTAGGAAAGCCTTGGTTAGACATATTTATTGTCAAGTTATAGTTACCAAATAAATATTCCACCTCAGCAGAGAAGTAGAGCAGTATTAGCAATAAAAGGTTTCCAGAGAGGTGGTGGTGGTTTCAATACTAATGCTCAAACCCTGAAACCTCTTGACCTTGGGAATGTCAGTTCGAGTTGCTAAATCAATAATCACCCAACTTGAAGGAACTGAAGGAATGATGTACCATATTGGGGGCAACGACATAAGGTATGAACTATCACACCTACTCCAGCTATTAACAAAAGGGCTAAAAAAATGACTTTCCGGCACTTGCATCTTGTGATATATTACATTGTTTGGCAAATATTTTGTACTCCACTAATTAAAATAGGTGAAGTATTGGCCCCAATTTCTACAGGAATTTTTCCCCATTTTTCCCCAAAATTTCATTTGAAGGGAGTTAAACTGCTGCAGACTAGTAAGCTTAGAAAGTTGAAAAAAATTCAATAAGAGTTAATACCCATTAATCTCCAGTAACTAAGTTGCACTTTTGTTTTCTCTTCTTTTATCTTCCAAATTTCAACCTGCATAAGCAATCTCACCGCAGATTACCAAAAACTCTGTAAATGCATTTGCATCAATCAAGTATTCCTGGGAAATTTATATTCGAAACCAAGTTGGTACTCACTAGATATATGACCCACAAATAGACAGGAATATAATATATTGCCTTAGTTTGAATAGAGTAAGTAAATGAAATAAACTGCAGTCCCCTAAACCAAGGTCAACAGATCAATGGCCCTTTCTTTTTGGCGATAGTTACCAATTGAAAGCTATCACGTAATGATAACAAGTACCCAAATATTTCCCTTTTCCATTTTTTGGGTATTTCTATGACTTTATCAGTTAACTCAAGTAAGTAACTTTTTAAAAAGAATTTCTCTAAAATCTAGAATATAAAATATTAAATTCCATACAAATTATCAGTACAACTCATTTGTGAATCAGCAAGGATTTCGTATGGTTGAGACATCTTTGGCCACATGTAGGCTCTACCTAATAAGAGAAGAGTCAGAAAAAACACACCCACCAGAACAGAAATAAATCCTTGTAAAATCATTCCATAAATCATGGAGTATAGAGCTCTCCTACAGGCTCTAAAAGCTCAACGAGAGGCAGCCTTCTGTCCAAAGAACTAGACATGCTGTGGCTCATGATTTGTGGGTGGCTACACATTTAAGGTTTTGTTTGAATAGGCCACTTCACAAAACTAAGTTTGTTCAGATTTGATGGATATCAATTTGACTATTCCACCAAAAATCAATTCTTTGTTTTTTAAATTATGCAATTTGACAATTCAAGATTAGTAACCTTAAAAACTTGAAGAGTAAGTCAAAAAAAAATAGATAGCCATTAAACTCTTGTAACTAAGTTCTGTTTCTATTTTCATTTCTTTATTTTCTAAATTTCATGCCTACATAACATATATTGGTAATACTTTTTCCCATGCATTTGCATCAATCAAGTATTACAAGGAAAGTGGTACCTGGAACCAAGTGGATAGTTGACCTTTCCACCCTTCCTACTTCCACAATAGAATTATAAATTCTTTGTGGTGCAGCTAACTGGAGCTATGACATACGGAATAGACAAGAATCAGAATATTGCCTATGTTGTCTATGGACATTATAATCAAATGAAACCAAATCCAGCACAAAGACCTTGGATTTGTCTTAATGGCTAGGATGATATCTTGGATCCTCTTATTTCGTGCCCTCAAGATCTACTGATGTATATATGGGACTGACTTTAGGCAAAGTTACATAAAGAAATATATTATATTTACTTTTTATATTTTCTTTAGACTTCCTCGCTTGATAATCTAAAAGGCATTTTTTTACAGAATTTCCTTTAAAAAAATAGAATGTGATATTAGATTTCCTTGCCAGTTGCACCAGTTTCATTCTTTTAGGACTAAACAGTTTTTCTGAAAGTCAGGAAGGACAACTTCCTCTAGTAATTACTTCTCAGTTTCTCTTTTTTCTTTTAACTTATTCCAATTTCTAAATTTGTCCTTTCTAAATCCTGTCGCACATATTTTAATCACATTGTTTATTGGTAAGGAGACAGGAGATCCATAAGCTTGTCCTGTATATTTGTGTAAATCAGCTATTCAAGGAATTATATATTTGTACTGAAGTGGAGACTTGAGCAATCATTGAAATGCAGTTCAACGAATCTAAGACAAAAAAAAAAAAACCAGACAAGAAGCAGAATATCAACTTAGTTTTCTTGGAGAAGATTGTTCAAATGAAACAAACCTCAATACTGAGACCTTGAGTACCTCTCATCCAATATAAATACCATCCTGTCCCCCTCCTTTTACTCAAAGAAACCTCAAACAATCACATCTGGCCTCTTCACTCCCTAATTTACCTTCCCAACTCTGGAAGATCATGGCTGTTATCACTTTCACCGATGAAGCCTCCTCCCAAATCCCTCCAGCAAGGGCATTCGAGGGCTTGATCATTGATGGTGACAATTTGATCCCTAAAATTATGCCACAAGCCTTCAAGAGCATTGAAGTCTTGGAAGGAGATAGAGGTGCAGGAACCATCAAAAAGATCAATTTTACTGAAGGTTGATAATATAGCTAATCTAAAATAACTTAATTCCAAGAATTATATTTGACAATGTTATGTTCCCGTGTCACGGATCGAGTTATAGGGTGATGCACAAGAAAATCTGCGTCAAGGGATGCAGTTTTTCCCTTGTTACGATTCTTGCCTTGTGAAGAACCTATGATTATCTATAGAACTCGTTGAAGAGAGCTCCTAACCTTAGACTCGTTACAGAAAGAGAGCCTTAAACCTCTATAAGTTCGGATTAAATTTTTGCTTCCTTTATTCCCTTCCAATTGTCCTCTTAAATAAAGATTACAAAGGAGATTATTCCAAAAATAGGAAAACTAAAATTAAGGATTTAATGAAAATACTTGCTAAAATAAACTTATCTAATTAGGAATAAAATCATTATTTGTCTTCCTCCCCATTTGTGGCGCCATTGACTTCCTTAATTAGGAATAAAATCATTATTTGTTATACTTCCCATTTTTGGCACCATTGACTTCCTTATTTTGTGATCCATGCCTTCCATATGTCTTGCCCACAAATGCATCCATAACAGACAACTTTACTCATGCTTAGTTATTATTCCCCATCGTGGTGATACGAGTGTTTCTATGCAGGAACCCCTCTATCCTACTTGAAGCACCGCATTGATGAGATAAATGCAGAGACATTCAAGTATTGCTATACTATGATTGAAGGGGATGCCTTGACTGGTAAGCTAGAGAAGATCACTTATGAGATTCAGCTTATGGCTTCCCCGGCTGGCGGTACCATTGCCAAGACCACAAGAAAATACTATCCCTTGGATGGTGTTGAGACAAGTGAAGAGGAGATCAAGACTGGCCAGGAAAGATCCAGAGCCATGTTCAAGGTTTTGGAAGACTACCTCATCAAAAACCCAGAAGCATATGCTTAGTGCCTCCCATCTCTATCCAAATTGGCCTCTTTGACCTCTCAAGTGGATTAAAGTTAGTGTGGTTTGCCTATTTGTTGCTATTGATGCTGTTAGAAATAAATTCGCCCACCTTGATAACATGTTGTTTTGTGCCTCTTCTTAGTGTGAAATTTTCTCTCTTTATATCCAATAAAAGATTAGAATAAGAGATTTGGTTGTGACAATGAACAGTTTGTGTATAAGCGATGAAACTCCACCTTTCTAGCTAAAATTTACCTTTTCTGTGAACCCATGATTTCGCTTGAATATGAATGTTGAATGCTATAAGTTAGTCTGCAAGAAGAGACGGGCCTTATTTTGCAGAAAGTTCAATAGCTTAGATTCTAATAACACACACCCTTAAAATAAAGGTAAAAAGATCAGTTGGCCTTACTTTCTTAGCAAAGCTACTCATTGAAAATTAGCACATGATGATAGCAATTCCAAATGAATTCTGTACTTTTGGATCTTTCACTATCTTCTTCACTCTTTCAACTCTAACAAGTATCAGTTACATGAGTGCCATTCATTTTTTTACTCAAAAGATCTCCTTAGGATAAGCAAAGTGTTTCTAAAAAGGTTAGAAAAATCTAACCACCATAACCGATCCAATTCACTGTAGAATTATGCAAGTAATTCCTCTGAAAGTTCCAAAAGCAACATGGAATTTTCCGAGAAAACTAGACCTGTTGTTGTGACTGATGGTAGGGATGAAGCCTGAAGGTGATTTATCACATTGTACCTTCCAAATGGAGTTTGCTTACAATTCCAAAACATAGGCCCTTGAAAATTGGAAACTTCACTAATCTAGAGCAAAGCTTGATTCTTTGGTTTAATTTGCTAAGGTTGCAACTGAATTCCTTTCTCCTAGCCCCCATAAAAGGCTTTTGACTTGTGGGGGTATATCATATGGCATGAACCCTTATATTTACTCCAATTTCAAACATAAAATTGTTTTGACAAATATTCTGTGCATCACTAGTTAGAACTGTCACAACACCAAATGCTTTAATAATTTTGCCTTGAATTAAAGCTTATTTTCCATAACTATAGAAATTTAATTTTTCCCTATCTAAGATATCTTTTAAGGGGCATTGAACTTGATAATTTCATACTAGTAACCTTTAAGAAATCATTGAATTCAAAGGGTTAATAGCCATTAGACTCTTGAAAACTAAGCTCTGTTTTGCTTTCACTTCTTGTCTTTTAAAATCCAATCCTACATATCTAATCATATATTATAAATTAGTATTGTTTGTCCTCCGCATTTGTATCATCCCAAGGAAATGTATATTTGGAACCAAGCAGGTATTTGATCTTCCCATCCTTCTTGCTACAACGAACTTGGGAATCCATTGAGATGAGGCTCATTGGAAAAATGACATACAAATTAGACAAGAACCAGGATATATTAACCCTAGTTTTCAGTGTGAAGATCTATAAATTGAAACAAAATCCCATACGGAGACCTTGAGTACCTCAATCCAATATAAATACCATCCTCTCCCTTTACTTAAGGACTATCTTCTTGACACAATCTGCATTTAGCCTCTTAACTCTTAATTTACCTAGAACTTGACAAGACCATGGGTGTTCCCCAATTGCCCCAGCAAGGGCATTTAAGGCCTTGATCCTCAATGGGGACAACTTGATCCCAAAATTATGCCACAAGCCTTCAAGAGAATTGAAGTCTTATAAGGAGATGGAGGGGTCGGAACCATCAAGAAGATCAACTTTGCAGAAGGCTCTATTTGCTTATCTAGTTAGATGACATTGATTAATTTAATGCGGTGCATAAATAACAAACCTTTAACTTCTGCTTATTAGTCCCAATATGGTGACATGAGTGTTGTTGGTGCAGGAACACTCACTTACTTGAAGCATCACGTGGATGAGATCAACAAATAGACAAATAAGTACTGCTACAGAGTGATTGAAAGGGATGTTTTTAACTGGTAAGCTAGAAAAGATCTGTTACGAGATTCAGCTTGTGGCCTCTGAGGATGAAGGTACCATTGCCAAGACCACAAGCAAGTACTATTCCTTGGATGGTGTTGAGATCAGTGACGATAAGATCAAGACTGGCCAAGAAAGGTCTGGGGCAATGTTCAAGGTCCTGTAAGACTAGCTCCACAAAAATCCTGAAGCCTATGCTTAATTCCTCTTATGTACAGTCTATTGGCCTTTCGTGATCTCCCAGTGCATTATACCAGCATTTAATCTGCTTATATGTTGAAGCTAAATCCTACCCACCAGGGTAGCATGTCCTTTCTTGCATCTTCTATATATAAGCTGTTTTGTCTCACTCTATGTATCCAACAAATGAAATGAAGAAAAATAAGTTTGGTTCATGGCAATTATAAACAAGTGTGATTGTCAATTTTTTACATTTAGCCCACATAGTTTAAGTTCTTAAAGCTATAACTCAAATTCAAAACCTTATGATGCCATCAAAAAGAGAAAGGGCAGTGGAAAGTACTTATTCAACATTATATTGTGTCTGCCTAACAACAGAAGATCCTTGTCTCCCTTCTTTTTTTGTAAAGGCTGATTACTGGAACTGAATTTGGCCTCCTTGCATCAAAGTTTGCCTCTTCTTTACAATGATTGCTCCTGAGAGACAACTGTAGATTGCAGAAGTTAATATCCGAAGATATATAATGAACTTTATTTTGCACAAAAATGTGGTAGCATAGATCTTATTGCTTGTTTCTCATATCCCAGATACTTAAAGAGTGGTTAATGGGTTGATGGGCCCTTTTTGTTGACTACTACTCACATTGGGAGCAGTTGGAAATGGTTAGCATTTTTAATTTTTATTAACAGAAAGCAGTCAGCAAAGGGCTACTAGCGGAAAACGTGATCCATCGAATTATTTCAAGTCTTTTTAAAATCATCCTAGTAAAATAATGATCAGGTATTGAAATCTCCTAAAGGTCCTCAAGAGAAGAGAGCTGCCTGCTTATCCTTCTAAGGATATTGCAACATATGATTTTTTTTGTTTTTTTCCTTTTCTTCAAACAAGACCTACGATTCCGTTAGTCTCATATAATTAGGCATACAAAACAACCTTATTGAACTTCACGGTCATCAATTTCATGTGATCAAGTATGAATCAATGCCATGTTATTGCAGGACATTCCAATTGTTGGCCTCCGAAAATAAGCAGCTTCACTTATTTTGAACAAAACATTAAATGAATATCTCTTGTTGAACCCCAGAAAGGCTTTTGATGTATAGGGCTTAAAAACGCAAACAAAATTGTTGTTAGTCCCAAGAATTCAAAAAGCAGTTATTCATCTCAACTAGAGGTAACTAGTACATACTATTGATAGTAACAGCTTCACGAGTTTTGTCCGCAACTCGCCGCAAGGCTTCAACTATAAAAAGAATTTATGTTTTTTTTTCCTTGGATTGTTAACCACTTTACCGATGAAAGTTGACAGTTTTACTCATATTAATGTCAACTTAAAGCTATCAAACTAACAAATCGTTTCCTAATCCAGGTTTCCTATTTTATTCTTTTTCTAGTGCACGTCTGTAGCAATGTGTTATATATGAGATCCATGTTTTTGTTCCCTGTATTTGTATCAATCAAGAATATTATTAAAAACTTTCTTTACATAGCACTAATAAAATATATATTTGGGACCCAATAGGAATTTGAAGTTTACACCCTTCCCCCCTAAAATAGTAGGGAATCTATTTAATGCAGCCTGATGGATCTAAGACATGGCAAATGGACAAGAACCAGAATATATAGCCTCTACTTTCTCTGGGAACGTAACCAAGCGAAGCAAGCTCTATACCCAAGTCCTCTAGTGCCTAACAATTATTAAATACTGTCTCCTCCCATTTACTTTCTCCAAAGAAAATTTAGACTCCCTGCTTAGCTATTCCATTTTCCTCTCTACTACCAAATTTACCTTCATAACTACACAAGACTACGACAGCTATCAGTTTCACCGACGTGTACACTACCCTTATTCCCCCTTGTTGGGTTCCCTCCTATGTGAGGGGAATTAAAATAAAAATAAAAAATATATATATATTTGTGGGTCCCACTAGGGTTTTAAACCCTTGTATATATATATATTTTTTTTTTTTCGGTGTGTTTTAGGGTGTGTGGAAAAACTGTAGCTCACCTGAAGGTTGGAGGCGCCGTGCAACTCACCAAGAGAGAGAGAAAAAAATTTTTTCTTCAATCTTTCAGCTAATTGAATTTGCATTTGCGAATTTGTTAACCATTGAATCAACCTGAAATTTGGACTGGGTGTTCTTCATCCTTTCCTCTTCAATCTGAACGGTGGAGATCTTGTTTGACATCAGAATCATCAAGTTTTGGGTAATTTACAGAGATCACTTTCTGGGTTTCTTCTGTAAAATTTTCTGTATTCAGTTCACTCTATTTCTGTTTGCGAGTTCGTTCACTGTTGGATCGAGCTCAAATGTGGAGTGGCTGTTCTTCACTTGTGGTTCTTGATTCTGAACAGTGGAGATCGGAATAACTTGTGAAAATCATCGGGTTTAGACTGCTCGAACATAATCTATTTTTAGATTACTTTGTCAGAAAACCAGTTTCATCATCCTTGCCGATCAGAAGGTCATTTGTGGTCTGATTGAGCTGATTTTTGGAGGGCACGTTGTGGACTCATTGTTCTTTGATTTGAACGGTGGAGATTGCATTTGAACAACTGGAAGGTCCTCAGATTGTGTTGACAGCAACTGCCATTGGTGATATCTATCATAACCTTGTTATCTCTTGAATGTTTTGAAGTGTGATTGAGATTTTGGTTGTGGATTTATTGTGACAGATTTTAATTGCTGTAAACATTAATAATTTGATAGTAGAGTTTTTCCTTGGACCTGAGAAAGGTCCTGTGGTTTTTATCCTTCACATTGAAGGAGTTTTCCACGTAAAAATTGTTGTGCCTTGTGTGATTGTTTTGTACATTTTGTAAATTGCTCATAGACACTTATTGTAAAATCCCATCAAACTGGTATTAGAGCTTGGTTAATTAGTTATTTTAAGCAAAAGATTGAGGTTAATACAAGCAGAATGATTTGCTTGAATGGCACAAATTATCACTTATGGAAAAATAAAATGAAAGACTTTCTATTTGTGAAATCACTGCATTTGCCTATATTTCCTACTCAAAAGCCAGAATCTAAAAGTAATGAAAAATGGAGTTTTGAGCATGAGGAAGTATGTGGGTTTACTCGACAATTTGTGGATAATAATGTTTTTAATCATGTTTGCAATGAAAAGCATGCTAGAACATTATGGAACAAGTTACAATCTTTGTATGCTTCAAAGAGTGGTAATAACAAATTGTATTTATTGAAGAAAATGATGCAGTTGAATTATAGAGAAGGTAGTTCTGTTGCTGATCATCTGAATGAGTTTCAAGGAACTGTAGATCAATTGTTTAATATGGGCATTAAATTTGATGATGAGATTCTTGGACTCTGGTTACTTAATACTCTTCCTGATTCTTGGGAGACCTTTCAGGTTTCACTTACAAATTCAACTCCTAATGGTGTTGTTTCCTTTGATGTTGCTAAGGGAGGTGTCTTAAATGAAGAGATGAGAAGGAAGTCTCAAGGTTCCTCATTGCAATCAGAGGTGTTGGTTACTGAAAATAGGGAGAGAAGTAAAAGCAAGGGTCAAGATCAGCATAACAGAGGCAAAAGTAGAAGCAAATCAAGGTTAAGGTATAAAAATTTTGAATATCATTATTGTGGTAAAACATTGGCACATCAAGAAATATTGTTTCAAGTGGAAAAAGGAGAATAAAGCTAATAAAGGCAAATAAGAAAGGAAAGGCAACGATGATAATGATGACCGTGTTAATGCCACCACTATAGGTTATCTTATTATTGTTTGTAATGATAAAGATATGATTAATGTTGGTAGTGATGAAACCAATTGGGTAGTTGATAGTGGTGCTTCTTTCATGTTAATCAAGGAAAGAATTCTTTACATCTTACACTCCAAGTGATTTTTGGGGTCTTAAAGATGGGTAATGATGGATTATCAAAGGTAGTAGGCACTGAAACTGTTTGTCTAGAGACCAACAATTGGACAAAATAAGTTCTTAAGGATGTTAAACATGCACCTGATATTTGACTACATTTGATTTCTGCTAGTAAGCTTAATGATGATGGTTATTGCAGCATTTTTAATGGTGGGGAAATGAAACTCACTAAAGGTTCTTTGGTTGTGGCTAAAAGGAAGAAGTATTCAGGTTGTACTGGTTGCAAGTTTCAATCTCTAACAGTCTTGTGAATGCAGTTGAAAGTAATTACTCTTCTAAATTATGACACAAGAGGTTGAGTTATATCAGTGAGAAAGGACTTGATTGTCTGGCTAAGAAGAATTTGCTTTCAGGGTTGAAAGGTGCAAAATTAGACAAATGTGAACATTGCTTGATTGGAAAACGGAAAAGGGTTTCTTTCAAACACCATCCTTCTTTTAGGAAAAATGATTTGCTTGAGTTGATACATGTAGATGTTTGTAGTCCTTTGAAGATAAAATCATTTAGTGGTGCACTTTATTTTGTGACATTTATTGATAATCACTCCAGGAAATTATGGGTTCGTGTTTTGAAATCAAAGGATCAAGTACTTGATGCATTCAAACAATTTCAAGCTTTTGCTGAAAGAGAGACAGGGAAAAGTTGAAATGTGTTCGTACAGATAATGGTGGTGAATACTGTGGGCCTTTTGATGCATATTATCGAGAGCAAGGTATCAGACTTCAGAAAACACCTCCTAAGACTTCTCAGCTAAATGGATTGGCAGAAAGAATGAACAGAACATTGGTGGAGAGAGTTAGATGTGTTCTTTCTGATGCAAAATTGCCTAGATCTTTTTGGGGTGAGGCCTTGTACACCGTTGCGCATGTGATTAATCTAACTCCCACTGTTGCATTAGATGTTGATGTTCCTAACAGAGTGTGGTATGGTAAGAATGTTTCTTATGACCACTTACGAGTATTTGGTTGCAAATGTTTTGTGCATATTCCTAAAGATGAAAGGTCTAAATTGGATGCTAAGACAAGACAATGTCTCTTCATTGGATATGGCCAAGATGAATTTGGTTATAGGTGTTATGATCCAATTGAAAAGAAAGTTGTCAGAAGCCGTGATGTGATCTTTGTAGAGGATCAGACTATTGAAGATATTGACAAGACAGAGAAGTTAAAGACTCAAAATGATAGTTTGATTGACTTAGATTTAACTCCTACAATAATTGTGCCCAATGAAGTTGAGATTCAAGGTCTAGTCACTGTGCAAAATGACATTCAAAATGATCAAGCTAAGGATGAACATGAAGTTGCAGATGAGATAGATGCTCCTGTACATAAAGTAGTTGATAACCAACAAGAGACACGTGTTGAGCACCATGAAGCTCCATTTTGGAGATCAACTAGAAACCGCAGACCTTCTTCTAGATATCCTCCTAATGAGTATGTATTATTGACAGATGGAGATAAAGCTAAATGTTTTCAAGAGGCTATTGAAAGTGAGCATAAGACAGAATGGGTTACAGCTATGAAGGATGAAATGCAGTCTTTGCTTGATAATCATACCTTTGAACTGGTCAAGCTTCCTAAAGGTAGAAAAGCCTTGAAGAACAAGTGGGTCTATAGGGTGAAGCATGAAGAAAATTCCTCATGTCCACGATATAAAGCCAGGTTGGTTTTTAAAGGTTTTAGTCAGAAAAAGGGCATTGACTTTGATGAAATTTTCTCACCAGTTGTTAAAATGTCATCCATTTGAGTTATTTTGGGCTTAGCTGCAAGCCTTGATTTAGAAGTTGAAAAAATGGATGTGAAAACAGCTTTCCTCCACGGTAACTTAGAGGAGGAAATTTACATGGAACAACCTAAAAGTTTTGTGGTAAAAAAAAAAAAAGAGAATTATGTTTGCAAATTAAAAAGAGTTTGTATGGTTTAAAACAAGCACCCAGACAATGGTACAAGAAGTTTGAATCAATTATGGTACAATAAGGGTACAAGAAGACTACTTCTGATCATTGTGTTTTTGTACAAAAATTCTCTGATGATAACTTTATCATTTTGTTGTTATATGTTGATGACATGCTCATTGTAGGCCCTAACTCCTCTAGAATTGATAGTTTGAAGAAAGAGTTGAGTAAATCTTTTACAATGAAAGATTTAGGACTAGCAAAGCATATTCTTGGTATGAAGATCATTCGTAATAGAAAGTGCAAGAAACTGTGGTTGTCTCAAGAGCAATACATTGAGAAGGTATTACAGCGGTTTAATATAGAAAAGGCTAAAACTGTAAGTACTCTTTTTAACACATCTTTTAAATTGAGTGTCAAACAGTCACCTTCTAGTGAGCAAGAAAAAGCAGATATGCAAAGAACTCCTTATGCATCTGCAGTAGGGAGTTTGATGTATGCTATGGTTTGTACTAGACCAGATATAGCCCATGCAGTTGGTACAGTAAGTAGATTTCTATCTAATCCAGGAAATGAGCATTGGAATGCAGTCAAATGGATTTTAAGATATCTCCGTGGTACTTCTGATTTGAAGTTGTGTTTTAGAACTGACAAACCTGTTCTCACTGGTTATACAGATTCTGATTTGGCAGGGGATATTGATTCTAGAAAATCTACTTCTGGGTATTTGATTATTTTTGCAGGGGGAACAATGGCATGGCAATCCAGATTGCAAAAATGTATTGCATTGTCTATCACAGAGGCTGAGTTTATTGCAACTACTGAAGCATGCAAAGAGTTACTTTAGATGAAGAAATTTGTGAATGAACTTGGACTCACTCAACAATGGTATGTCTTATATTGTGATAGTCAGAGTGCAATTCATCTCGGTAAGAATCCTACTTTTCATGGTAGATCCAAACACATTGATGTGAGATATCATTGGATTCAAGATGTTTTGGATTCCAAGTTGCTTGAACTTGAAAAGATACACACTGATGATAATGGTTCTGATATGTTCACAAAAGTTCTTCAAAGAACTAAGTTTGAGACATGTCGTTTGATTGCCGGTTTGGGACATTCCTCCACATAGTCGGGAGGGAGAGAATTGTTAGGTTCCCTCCTATGTGAGGGGAATTAAAACAAAATATATATATATATATATATTTGTGGGTCTCACTAGGGTTTTAAACCCTTGTATATATATATATATATATATTTTTTTTGGTGTGTTTTAGGGTGTGTGGAAAAACTGTAGCTCACCTGAAGGTTGGAGATGCTGTGCAACTCACCAAGAGAGAGAGAAAAAAAAATTTTTTCTTCAACCTTTCAGCTAATTGAATTTGCATTTGCGAATTTGTTAACTGTTGGATCGACCTGAAATTTGGACTGGGTGTTCTTCATCCTTTCCTCTTCAATCTGAACGGTGGAGATCTTGTTTGACATCAGAATCATCAAGTTTTGGGTAATTTACAGAAATCACTTTCTGGGTTTCTTCTGTAAATTTTTCTGTATTCAGTTCACTCTATTTCTGTTTGCGAGTTCGTCACCGTTGGATCGAGCTCAAATGTGGAGTGGTTGTTCTTCACTTGTGGTTCTTGATTCTAAACAGTGGAGATCGGAATAAGTAGTGAAAATCATTGGGTTTAGACTGCTTGAACATAATCTGTTTTCAGATTACTTTGTCAGAAAACCAGTTTCATCATCCTTGCTGATCAGAAGGTCATTTGTAGTCTGATTGAACTGATTTTTGGAGAGCACGTTGTGAACTCATTGTTCTTTGATTTAAATGGTGAAGATTGCATTTGAACAACTGGAAGGTCCTCAGATTGTGTTGACAGCAATTGCCATTGGTGATATCTATCATAACCTTGTTATCTCTTGAATGTTTTGAAGTGTGATTGAGATTTTGGTTGTGGATTTATTGTGACAGATTTTAATTGCTGTAAACATTAATAATTTGATAGTAGAGTTTTTCCTTGGACCGAAGAGAGGTCCCGTGATTTTTATCCTTCACATTAAATGAGCTTTTCACGTAAAAATTGTTGTGCCTTGGGTGATTGTTTTGTGCATTTTGTGAATTACTCATAGACACTCGTTGTAGAATCCCATCACCCCTACAAGAGTATTCAAGGCATTAATCCTTGATGGTGACAACTTGATCCCAAAAATTATGCCACGGGCCTTCAACAGCATTGAAGTCATCCACGGAGATGGTGGGGTTGGAAGCATAAAGAAGATCAGCTTTGCTGATGGTTAGATTAGCAAGCTGATATTTCATACAATATTCAAATTTTGAGCTTTACCCACTTAGTATTTTATCAGAAAAAGCCAGAAGTAAGTATATTTATGTTTGACTTCTGGCTTTTCCAATTTTTTTCTGGGAATAAAATCCAATCACGTAAGACCAAAAATCCAACCTTCACATAAAATTGTTTGCTCGAGGCTATAAATTATTCTAGTAAGGTGAAGCGAGTTTTTTCCTTGCAAGAACCCCTCTAACCTACTTGAAGCAGCGGGTCGACGAGATAAATGCAGAGACATACAAGTATTACTTCACGGGGATTGAAGGTGATGCCTTGATGGGAAGCTAGAGAAGATCTCCTATGAGATACGGCTGGGGCCCTCCCCGGATGGACGTGCCATTTCCAAGACTACTAGCAAGTACTACCCCTTGGATGGCGTTGATATCAATGAAGAGGAGATCAAGATTGGCCAGGAAAGATCTGGAGCAATGCTCAAGGTCTTGGAAGACCACCTCATCCAAAATGCAGAATCCTATGTGTAATGTGCCTCAGCTTCCTTCTGGGCCTTCAAAGACCTTCCCCTCTTACAAAGTTCAGTATGTGTTTGCTTTTAGCATTATTATTATTATCATCAATTTGTCTTGTTGATCTGTAATTTCAACTTGATGTCTGCCCTCCAATGGTAGAAAGTTGCATTTCAATGTCCATTCCCAATAAAACCATTAGTCTCGCTTTTTACGATACGAAGCTGAAATCATAAGAAGTTTTCTCATGATCTTGGAGAAAATAAGAATGAATCTGTAGTTATGAATGTTTGATGATGATAAACAAGGTGGAAACAGCTGCTGAGTTTTCCTTGATAATTAGCTAAGCATCAACTGCAACTTATTTCTTCGAGAAATCATATTGGATGCGTGTGGGATTCAAGTAGAAGAAAACAGTCAGTTCATGAGTGTTCTAGAGGTGAAGGAGGTGATTGCTCCACATTACAAAACTCAGTTTCATGCCAAAAACCATATTTAGAGAAGTTAGGAGCTCTGGCGCTACATTTCAATTTTGCATCTGATCCATGTTCGGATGATTGATTAATTGAACCAGTGTCTATCAAAATTACTTATTTCTATTTTTCATCCTAAAATTGGAAAATGCATTGATATATGAGTATTGATTATCTATTGGTAGGGAAATTTCATTAACAACCCATGAATGTTGCCTTCCTTTGTCAGTTTTATTTTTTAGTTTTGCCTCAATTATTCCAATATTTTTGGATTAACCCCCTTCCTTCCTTTTTTCCCCAATTTACCCCCTTCCTAATTTTTATTTACAAATCTAATCCAAACTTTTCCAAATTGCATAATTACCCCAAGATATTTTCTTGTTTTTAATCAAGTCTATAGCTCCACTCTGACTTTCAATTTCAATTTTCCATGTTCAAATCTATGTCAATTAAAGTTGGCTTATCTCAATTCAATCGGATTAAGTCAATTTTTTGCTTTCTTTCAAATTTAAACTCTTTTTTAAAGTCAAATTTCTTTTTTTTTTTTTTTCCAATTAACCCTAGCTCATCCATGTTTCAAACCAGTTCCAATTCAACATAATTTATTTTCAAAATATTTTTTAAATTCAAACCCCTCTATTCTTATTTTTTTTTAAATTCAAAAAAACGTAATTTTTTGTTTTGTTTCTTAAAATAGTTATCTACATGGGCATAATTTCTAATTTATTAAAACTATCAAGAGGGGCATCTTTGATTTGCAGATGACACAGACGTAATCCAAAATAATTAAAAGAAATAGGAAATATAAAAGGATGAAATTAAAACTTGTTTAACCCCAATTTAACTCCATTTATCTCATTTTAAATGTAACTTAATTATTGAGTAATTTTGATAGAAATTTCAAGTAATTATTATGATCAAAACAAGAATTTAACATGAGCAGGGCGAACAGCATCACTTGCTACCTTTGAAGAGTACCCAGGAAAATGTGACCTTTGTTTGGCAAATTGGTTAAAATAAACAAACTATTTAATAAAAAAAAACCATAAATAAAAGAAAAGAAAGAGCTTGCCAAACAAGGCATGCACAAGAAGTAATCTCAAGACTGGTATTGGGCTTGCGCTGGGAATTTGAACAGTGGCTTTCCAGTGTTGGCGACAACAATGCTTCTGACTTCTGACTCATGGCCGCCTAACTTTCACCTCGGTTTTTTCTCAACTGAACTGAAGAACTAAGGGAGTTTTTACTCATACAAAAGTAACCTTTTAAATGAGAGCTTACTCGTATGGATAAGTGAATAAGCCTGCAACATAACTGTTCAATTCTTCCTCGCCGAAAGTACCCCCCCAGGAGAGGGGGGGGGGGGGGTGGGGGGGGGGGTTACTCTAAATCCCAATTCTCAGATTTGTGGATGGCAGAGTGGAGTCAAGTCTTCCGTCCCACATTGAACCATTAGAGAAGGAAGAGAGAGACTGTCAGTATAAAGGAGGCGGCCTGACAAGGATCAAAGCATACCTTTCTCGGCCTTTTGGCTAAGATCAAGTGTAGTATCTGTTCTTATCAGTTTAATATCTGATACGTGGGCCATCGGCCCACATGATATTAAATTAATTTTTGTAGGGGGAGGGTCCGTGACAGTAGCTTGCTACTGGGGTCCTCGAGCGTCGCCTAGGCGTTACACTGCTGCCTTGGCCTGGCGCACCCCGCCCAAGTCAAGTATGAAGTTTTGAGTCCATGGGTCGGATTGTTGGGCCTCCATTTGTTCTAACTCTTATCCAATACATCTCAGTAGTATCGGGGTCGGAAAATTGGGCTTGTGGTGATGGCGCCAGAATCCCGGAGGTGAGGTACGCTGGGTTGAAAGTTTATTTCTAATTGGAAGCTCATTTTCTAGACTTTTAGTTTAATGAGAAAAAGGATTGTCTAATAATTAAGTCTTTGGATGGCTGTGATTTGAAGTTAGGATTATGCTTCATGGTTCAATTTTTAGAACTTCTATTTATGCAGGTGTTCTGTGATAACTTCAATCCCGCCATCTCTTTCGACCATTTCGACCCACCCAAGCCACCACCCAGGTAACTGCACCGTCGCCTCTCCACACCCTCTATGTTGTCACCTTTTGTCATCATACTTGTAGAAAGCCACCAGCATGGTGGAGGCCCTTCCCCTGTTTCACTAGTCGTAGAGCCCTTTTCTGTTTTGCCTTTTCCCGTCACAGAGTCCCTCCTTGCCCTTTTCGCCTTTTGCCATCGCAGAACCAGTCACAAAGGGGCCCCTCTTTCACTGTCACAGAGCCCTTCCTCGCCGTCTAATGGAGATTGATCTGTCACATGGAAGAAAGTGAACGGTGGCTCGTTGGGTAAGAGCTTTCCAAGATGTTATAATTTGCTTTCTGAAATTTATCTATTATTTTAAAATAATTCCTCAATATTGTTTTTTTATATTTTAAATTCTGAATTGGCTCTCCAGCTTTAGGTTTGTTTTATATTTATTTATGAATTTTTAATTTATTTACATAAGTCCTCCAAACCTGGTAAGTACAAATCAACACCATCCAAACAATTTTTACAGAACACGTAACTCAAAAATTATTATCATTCAAACAATTTTTTACAATTATTATAACTGAAAAAACTCCGATCCAAAACTTGACTCAATCAAATTCTCGCAGTCACTGTTCAAATGATTTTAATGTGAAGAAAAATGATTTAAGAGAGCAAGAACCAGTCCAAAGAATCAAACAAAAGAACTCATAAATTTAAAGCAAAGCTAAAGGCAAGATCAGTGGAAGGGCATCTACTCAAGTATGATATTCCGATTCCCAATCATGGATAAGCCTTCTTTACGAATGTAAAAAACTCTTGCACCTTGTGCAATATGAGATTCCCAATCACGGATGAGCCTCCTCTATGGAAGTAAAAAACTCCCGCGCCTTATTTCCTGTATGGGCAGGACGAGAGGTCTCTAAAGCAATTTGCCTAATATAACCGTAGACCTTCACTGGCTTCATATTTGTTTATTCAGGCAAAGAACCCTTTGGCCTAGAAAAGGGGGCAACCAGTCTTTTCTTGTGAAGCCCCAAGTTCATGAACAACAGAATGAATGAGCTCCTAAAAGGATTACCCATCTTTCTTCTGTTCCCTTCCTGTCACCTCAAAGACCCATTATTAGGATTGATGCTAGCGTCTTATTAAATATAATGGATAGTAAAATTATGCTATTAGGCAAAATTGTAAGCTTACCCTTCTCAACCCTACTTAAATAGCTAATGAGAAAGTCCGGAATCAATTCCTTTACTTGGGCACACAAACACGAAAATTATCCACCTGGTTTAAAAAAGGTTCAAAGCCTTTTGAACTGAACATTTCCCCAAAATCAAAAACCACAACTTACTTGTCTTTAACCTCAAAGCTCATGGATGTGGGAACAATGAGAGGTCTTGTTGACTCTTTTGACCTCTTCTGTTTATTGGGATAAACTTTTACCTGTTTCTTAGCTAAGCTACTAATAATATGGTTGGCCGGTCATCCACTTTTAGTTAACACCTACACTCAACTCTGTCGATATTATTTCTATTTTCATTACGTTACTCTTCAACAAGGGTCCTCCTTTCCATCAACACCGCCAATTATATAATGTTATAATTTTTTTTATGTTTGTGTTACTAAATTTTTATAATATAGTATTTTGTCATTAGGAGGATGTACTTATTTAATTTTACAATTGAAAAAATTCTAATCATGATTCTAAAATAACCTGTAAGCCTATTAGAAACAAGGATCAATCCACTCATTTAGAAACGTAAGAAGAGCAATGAATGGGTTGTAGCCTTAATGGTTCTATTTTGAGTTTAGATTCTAAGCTTGTAGCAATTTATCTATCTAAACAGTTAATCCCCATGCTAATATGGAGGAAGAGTTGGAAGATTGCCTCCATTTGTAGTCCATCTTCTTCATGTAATGTAATGTCTGCCTCCATTTGTACTCTATCTTATTAATATAATGTTCTTTTTTAATGGGCTCTCTCTCGTAATCTTTTCTTTTCTTTTTCTTTTTTATTTGTAGTCTCAAGGAGAAGGAGGGAGAGGGGGAAGGGGGGGAGGATCAAGAGTACTTGAACTCTTAATTTTTAGACTAATTCCACAAATATTTTATTTTATGGGTTAAATTTTAGGATTTTTAATATTATCTTTAAGCATAGATCATAATCCTTAAAAATGGTTAGAGTTCTCCTTGATCTCTTTTGATTGTTCTGCAAGTAATTTAAAGTTCTAGTTTCATCACTTGCAAAGGTAGATTAATTGATTAAGATAAAAATAACATGCTTTTTTAGGTGAAAAATGATATCAAGGAAATCCACAGCGTACAAATTCAGATGAATCCCTCTATTTTTGATAACACACTAGCTTGTGGAATTGTTAGAGCTAACTTCTTGACTTCTTCTTCAACTTTAAAAATACTTTGAAATGAAGGGTATTAAATAGGAAAGAGAGAGATCCACCACAAAAATGTCTTTATCCTTTCCTTTTTTGAAAGAATAGGAGGA